TCGGTCCCGAAATTGAGAGCTCAAGGAAGAGGATATTCATTTTACTTGCCGAAAGGAAAAATAAAAGAAAAGAAGTGAACAAGAAAAAAATATTAAAGGAATTCTCAAGAGCGAACATAAGCATAAATCAGTGGCCATAAATTAGTTGGCTTTTAATTACGATTATTATGTTGATAATAGCGCGCATTTAACGCGCGATAAACATAAATAATCGTGTCAAATGCAAACAGATGTCGAAACAAGATGACACTGGAACAGTGAAAACTCGAGGGCGAGAACCGCGAGAGCCAGCCAAATCACGGGGCCTCCACTCAGACGCCGACTAAAGATCCAGAAGCAATGAATCAATTTTCTAACAAAACATACAAGACTTGAGATGCCCTCGAAAATTAATAAATAAATATATTTATAGTTTTTTAAAGATATTTTTTATTATATCTAGTATTTATTATTTTTTGTGATATATTGTTCTTTAAAGTCTTTTTTATGTCTTGTAGTAACTTGTATATTTTATAAGATATCCATAGACACTTCTTTAATGGATTGGATATAGAACCTTTAGGAGATATATGTATTTCTTCAGAGTCTATTCGGTAAGTTTCAATACCCGGTACTTCAAACTAAGCTAGTATTTTGGTACATTTAGTTTAAGAGTTTAATTTAATTTTAAATATCGTCTATTATTGCACATTTTTTTTGTCTTTTCCCTGAAAATTTTTTATTTCTCTTTTATTTAAATTATATTTAGGTTGTTTAGATTGTATAAAAAAATATGAATACCCCGTACTTGAGCTTAAGAAATATTATTAAAGTTGTTTACATCTATAAACCTTATTAGGTACTTTCCCTTCTAAAAAAATTAAACACCCTATATACCCTTAGATATAAATCTTAAATATTTTCCAGGGTATCTCAAATATTTTCTGTGCGCGTTAAAATTTTTTTGCTTAATGAAAACAATGTGTGAACAAGATTTGTGAACCGATCTGTGTGGAGATTTGGTGAGTGGAGGGCTCGGGCGTGACCGGAATTAAGACATTTTTAAGATGCCATTGGCGGGCTCCCACTCTTGCTCCACGATCAAATAAATTTCTTCACTGTTGACACTTATATTTTGTGTGTTGTGTTTATTTTTTGTTAAGGGGGCTGTTTATCAGAGCTCGTTTGTGGCGCCTAACTCGACTCAAATGTGTGGAGATCATAATTCAAAATTAAGGTTTTCTGCTAATGATTTTGTCACCGCCGAAGTGCCACTCGTTTATCATCCGCCAAAGAATTTCCCCCAACCACCTCGACAGTCCTTTTCTGATTTATATGGTTTTTTAACCAGCTCTACTTTCCCACTATATATATATGTATATAGAAGTCTGTGTATCAGAGCCTGTGTCCTTTGCAAGCCGATGCCAAACGCATGTGCCATCCTTTTGTTTTATGTCCTGGCTGTCCTCGTTTTCCAGTGTGTGTTTGTATTTTTCATTATTTTAATTTACAACCGACTCTGGAGCTCTTTTGAAATCCGACTACTCGGGAGAGGAGGAGAGGCTAAAAGGAAAGTAAGCCCAGCAGGATATGTCAGCTACATAGAAAGCAGGATTCAAGGATGCTAGGACTAAAGCAAGAGGGGAATTTTTTGGAAATTAATAGTTTAAAGTTTTAGAATGATTATTAACCTTTAAAGCTTAATTTATTAAAGAACTTATGAAACCCCCATTTTAAATACTTTTGAATAGATCTCTCTGGGCTTTTCTTTTATTTTTCACCAAAAAAAGCACTCATATATCTCCCATTTTCTCCTCATCCCAGGCCCAACTACTGTTATTCATTTGCCGGTCATTTCAATTCATTGCCTGGGCAAATTGTTTTTATCCTGGAACCACCCACTCGTCCACCCACTCTGCCACACCCACTCAACCATTCTACCACTCTCCCACCCATCCGCTGCCCCCCGCCTTGGGATGTCAAAACACTGGAAAATCAAGCGAGAAAAATAACTGCGCAGCTTAATTCACTTCCCAGCCGATAAAAACCCGAAAAGTCCTTGGCTTCCTTGAGGGAGAGGAAGGGAGGAAGGATTCCAAAACAATCTGCACCCACTTGACGGGCAATCTGTTTCAGTCGAATTCGAGTAATAAAATTTAAATCACCCAGGACGAGAAGATGACGAGGGTCAGGCAACCCAGCAGCAGCCAGCAGCCAGCACCCAGGACATGCAGGTCGTGCAGGACACCCTCCGGATCGGATGAGATTGGAGCGTTAAAAGTCGTTAACGACCAGCCGAAAAACCGGAAGCTGCTAAGCATCCCCCAACAAGTCAGTAAGGGACCGACATGGAAAGTAAAGCATCGAATCAAGGGTAATTCCACCCTGGAAATCATTTAAACATATTTTACGCTCTTTGGCAATAAAAGATACAAGATATATGGCACAAGATACAACACACAAAGATTAATAGATGCGAAAATTTAACCAAAAGCTTTGATTTTGAAATTGATTTCAATTATAGTTTGATTTTTGGGATATTTTGTTTGGAACTTGGATTATCAATGATTTTGGTTAGGAATTTTTAATAATTTGAACAAAAATTGTATAATTAATAGGATAAGCTTAAGAACATTAAAGATATAATATATGTTTTATACTTATTTTGTTTTTGAAAGTTCTGAGAAACACATAAAACTCCACTTACGCTAAAAAACAAACATCTTTTAATAAATTTTTAAATATATTACCCTTTACCCAAAAAATTTAGGGACTTCAGATATCTATAACCATCGAATCTTGAAATTCAGGATATATTTATGATATAAATTATCAGTTCAGAACCCTTAAGTTTCTTGCTTCCGAAAATGTTGGAACATTTATTGAAAACAGTCTTTAATATTTATACCCTTGCAGAGGGTATTATAATTTTGGTCAAAAGTGTGCAACGCAGTGAAGGAGACATCTCCGACCCTATAAAGTATATATATTCTTGATCAGGATCACCTCCTGAGTTGATATGAGCATGTCCGTCTGTCCGTCTGTCCGTCTGTCCGTCTGTCCGTCTGTCCGTCTGTCTGTCCGTCTGTCTGTTTCTACGCGAACTAGTCTCTCAGTTTTAAAGCTATCGTCTTGAAACTTTGCACACACCCTTCTTTCCTTTGCACGCAGTATATAAGTCGGAACGGCCCGGATCGGCCGACTATATCCTATAGCTGCCATATAACTGATTGATCGGAAATGGTATAACTTTGGTGTTTTTAGAGTTAGAGAGTTCAAATTTGACATGTGAGCTATTTTTGGCAAAACATTACGTCATGCCAAATTTCATAAGGATCGGCCGACTATATCCTATAGCTGCCATATAACTGAACGATCGGAAATGACCCAACTTTCGTGTTTTTGAAGATAGAAAGCTGGAACTTAGTACAGATTTAATTCTTGGTCAGTTGATCCAACCTACCAAATTTCATTAGGATCGGCCGACTATATCCCATAGCTGCCATATAACTGAACGATCGGAAATGGTATTTGGTAGAAATATCAACTTTCGTATTTTTGAAGATAGAAGTTTGGGACTTTTTTTAGATTTTGTATTGTAATAAATTGGATTATATATTCCTATTCCCATAAGGATCGGCCAACTATATCCGATGTTTGCGATATATATCCGGTTTTAACTGCAAGGGTATATAAACTTCGGCTCCGCCCGAAGTTAGCTTTCCTTTCTTGTTTTAAATATTAATATTTTGTAAGATTTCAAAGCCCCATAAACTTTTAAATAATAACCAAAGTTTTAAAAAAGTGGACTCAAAAAACAATGGTCAGTTTAATTTCCAAATTAAATCAATTTAATTTTTTAATATTTTTTTACATTTTTCAATATAACCAAAAATATATTCTTTCTTCCCAACATTCTTTGGAAAGCCATGACAACCCCAATATGCCTCCAACCCGCCAACCCTAAAAACAAAATGAATTTAAAACACTGGCGCTTTGTTGTACATTTATTTTGAATGAAATTTAAATAGTTTATTCGTACTTTAAATAATTAATTTACATAGACAAAAAAAAAGTAGCTAATCGAAGATGATAAATTGCTGATGCTGCAGTACTGCATGTGTGTTGTGTGGGAGTTGGTGTGTGTGTGTGTATGTGGGTGGGTGTGTGTTTGTGTGTGCTAAGTATCTAAGTATCTTTTGCTAAGCCTAATTTTCAAATAAAACAACAAAAAAACACATTTATTTTTAGTTTTAAAGTGTAAGTTTTTAAGTTAAGTCGGTTAAAGCACTAGCTCTCTTGTTCGATTTATCGATTACTCGATTTTCTCGATTTATTTTTTTTTTTAGCAAAAATAATTGTGATCTCGAAATATACTAATTTACAGGAATTAGCTTTAGCTTTTTTGTTTCTTTTAATTTTTTTTATTTTAGAATTAGCATAAAAGATTCGATTCTTTAAGTTTATCCCTTTTTCCATTTGTTTGTATTGTTTTTTTTTTACAATTTTGGTTCTTACTCCGTTTTTTGTTTTTAATTGGACTAGAAATATATTTTTTAGGCTGTTTTTTGTATTTTTGTTTACCCCCTTTTCAATATTATATGTATATATATATATATTATTATTTTATATGTATATTTTCAAAATTGCATAATTGTTTAACATTTAAGTTAAGTTTTTTTGTGGTGCTCGAAGCTTATCTGTTGGTTAAATTGTTGTATATTTTATTATATTACTTTATCGACTTACAAACTATTAAAAAAAATTGACAAAAAAAAATTGGATTTCGATTCTAGTTATTATTTAAGATATATATATGTATATTTGTTGTTGTTTAAGCTATAAGCAAATATTTTGTAATATTTATTTTTTTTATAGACACTTAGAGAGTGTGTATCTGATGTTTCTGATTTTTGTATCTTTTTGTTTGTGTTTTAAATATTTACAGACTGCTGCTGGCTTTTTATGTACAACCGCATTTTAAATTTTTTTTACAGTGTTTTATCAGAGATATTATAGTTGTTCTTTTTTTTTCAAGTGTATTCGTTAATGGGTACCCATTTCTTTTGTGACCTTAGTTGGTGAAAAGAAAGGGACCCAGCGACCCTCAAACCATCGGCGGCTTTATATCCACCAAGGACGATGGGTCCAGACCCGGTGATCCTCCGGCCAGGTGGTGTGCATGGTGGGTGTGGTGGTGCATATGATGGTGGTGCTGTTGCTGGTTGAACTGATGATGTTGCTGGTGATGTTGCTGCTGTTGTTGCTGGTGGTGTTGCTGCTGCTGTTGGAGATGTTGCTGTTGCAGGTGTTGCTGGTGTTGTTGCTGATGCTGTTGCTGTTGCTGGTGAAGCATCACCGGCGAGCCGCCCGCGGCGACCATCTGGTGCGACGTGGCCAGGTGCAGACCGCCGCCCAGGAGGCTGGAGTTGCCACTGGACGTGCCATTGGCGCCACTGTGCGCGTGCAACGAGGTCGGGGTGCCGGGATGGCTGCTGCCACTTGAACCGGAACTCGATCCAGAATTGTGATCGTGTCCCGGTGTGGCACCGCCGCCACCCCCGCCGCCACCGGCCCCGCCCGTCTGTTGTGGGCCACTGGCCCCGCCGCCCAGCCCGTTGACATGAACATCGACCGGCTGCTGGTGGTTGGCAACCGATACATTTACGGAGGATGACTCCTCCGAATCAGAACAGGAATCGGAGGAGCCATGCTTTTTGCTGTGACCCGGGACGGACTGGCTGCCACTGCCACTGACGCTGCTGCCGGTGACTCCGCCGCCGCCGCCGCCCGCAGAGGAGGAGGAAGAGGAGCCACCGCCACCGGAGGAGGAGGAGCCACCGCCGCCGCCGCTGCTGCCGCCGCCACCGGTACCAGTACCGCCCCCACCACCACCGCCACCACCACCAGCCGTGCCATTGTGCGTCTTGACGTGCTTGGCCAGGTGGTCGCTGCGCATGAAGCGCTTGTTGCACACGGGGCAAGCGAAGCGCTTCTCGCCGGTGTGCGTCCGCAGGTGGCGCTGCAGCTCGTCGGAGCGCGTAAAGCGCTTGCCGCAGAACAGCCAGTTGCACACGAAGGGACGCTCGCCGGTGTGCCACCGCAGATGCGCCTTTAGATGTGACGTCTTTCCGTATACCTTGCCACAGCCGGGTATGTGGCACGAATGGATGTTCTTCTTTCGGAGATGAACGCCGGCGGGTCCAAGCCGTTCGGCCTCCTGACAATTGGGGCAATCGCAGGTAGCACGCCCCGCATACCGTCGCTGGGAACGCGGCGACGGTGTCGACGCTGAGCCACCCTGGGGTGAACCACCGGCAGCGGCTGCTGCTGTTGCTGCCGCGGCCGCCGCCGCCGATGGTGAGCTGTGCGGCAGCGAGAAGCCACCGACGCCCACGCCCACACCGCCGACCACGCCCATACCTACACCGCCTACCACACCAACGCCCTGTCCGGGCAGCATGCTCTTGTACGTGTCCTGCAGGAGATGCTGTCCTGATCCCAGCAGGGAGTGGCTAAGCGCCGAGCTGTAGTTCTCGCTGGCATAATTCGCCATGGTGGAGTGCATCCCCGCCGCAGAGCCCATATCGAGCCAGGGTCCCGCCGCACTGTGCATGTCCCACCAGCCGGAGTTGACGCTGGTGGCGTCCTTGTGGGTCACTGCGTTGAAGGGCCACTCGTACGGGTGGCGGGAGTAGACGCTACCGAATGTGCCCGCCTCCACCTTGCCGAGAAGTCCCTGGTGCATGTGGTGGTTGTCCATTGAGGAGGTGCCTCCACCGCCGCCACCGGCACCGCCGGAATTCGGGAAGTACAGGTCACTGCCGTAGGCCGCCGCCGCTGCTGCCGCCGATGCGGACGAGCCGGATGAGGAGGACCCCGAGCCGGAGCCGGAACCGGAACTGGAGCCCCCGCCCACCGCCGCACAGGACGAGGAGGAGGCCAGGGGGCGACTGTAAGGATAGATGCTGAAATTACTCGCCAGTCGTATAGGGCCATTATTATAAATACTCGGCGTAAGGGGGGATACTGGGCGAGGATCCCCCCTTAACTCACGCACAGTGGTCCCCCATTGTGTTGGGGCCAGAGTTGGCCCCTTCCCGGGGACCACTGTGCGCCGCCTGCTGCTGCTTACCTAGCTGTGATGTTCACCATGGTACTGGCGCTGGCGGAGAGACCGCTCCGCGAAGAGCCGCTGGAGCTGGACGAGCTGGCCGCCGAAATGGCGCACGGTGAGTGCTGGCCGGCGCTGCTGCCACCGCCTCCACCCCCGCCGGAGCCACTGCTGCCTGCCGCCGGGGAGTTGGGACTCTTCTTCCATGGGTGGAAGCCCTTGCCCACAGCGGCATCGGCCAAGGGGGGCGGGGATTTGTTGGAGAGCTTGTTGCACTGGGCGGCGAGCATGGCCAGGGGGGTGCCTCTCAAACTGGGATGGTCCTGTAATACAAAAAATAAATAAATAATTAATTAAGGTATTTCAAAATAGTTAAATTTAATGGTTAAAAAAATATCCCTAATTTCAAAAAGTTTTCCCTTTGGCGCCAACCACCTGCCTTGCAAAAAAAAAGTCCTTTATATTTTCCCTTTTCAGACAGGGTGATCATGGCGCTCTCTCTTACACCCACTCGTTATCGCTCTCTCTCTCTGGGTCTCCTCTTTCTTAAAACCGAACAAAGTCATAGTCCTTTGCTCTCTCTCTCCGCGACACTAAGTTTTTCCTTATAAGTCTTTATTTTTTATTTAATCCTCATTTAAATTAAAGATTTCTTTAAATATTTTACTAATTTTAGTTAATATCGTTGCGTTTAATAAAAGTATACAAGTTATAGCCTTAAAACCATCAAGGCTGGTGCTCGGAGTCGGTTTTTAGTGCGCGAGTGATTTAAAATCTTAAATTCTAGTGTTTTTAGTTAATTTATGGTGTTAATCTTTTTAAAATATAATTCTTTAATTATTCTTTCGTTTTTCTTTAATATTTATCTATTTAAATGGTGTTTTTGATGTTAAATATTCAAATAAAATGGCATTAGTTTCGGGTGCTCCGCTGGACATTTTCGCGTGTGTTGTGGGCGCGGGGGGTGCGGCGGGGGCTCGTCAGTCTGCTCTCGCAGCATCCTCCGGGCAAAGAACCGTTAGAAAGTACGTCCATGATGTTCATATGCGTTGGTATGTATGAATTTTTGTATCTAAGCGTTTTTTTGGCGAGTACAGTTGCCACGCAATCTGTTAGTTGCAAGTGATCTTTGATTTTGGTTCTTATTGGGTGTTTTCTTATTGGGTGGGGGTGGAAGGGGTGTTTGTTTATGATTATTTGTATTGGAGGATATTTCTTATAATTAAAATTTATATGTATTTTTTCTTTATAATTTATTATAAGCCTATATTTTATTTATTTTATATTTCTTTTTTTTATAAATTATTTATTATTAATATTCTTTATTTTTCCCACAACAAATTTTTTTTATTTACTTTTTTATATTTTTGGTGGGAATGATTTTTTTGTTCATAATGCATTTCTTAATTAACTCCCGTTCCTGTGAATTTTGCAAATTACTTAAATGCGAATTAGTCGAGCTCGATTTCGCTTCCTGTCTGCTGTCCTGGTTTTTGTTTTTTTTCTGAATTTTATTTTCCACCAACGGTTTCTAATGCCTTTGCTCCAAAAAAAAAAATAAAGGGTATTTTTGGGAAGAAGAGAGGGTGGAAGAGGCAATGTGTGGTGATGGTGGCAAAAGCAACCCACAAAATTAATTCGCCACGTAAATCAAAACTGAAATTCCCTTTATTTTTTGGCGCAGAGCTGTTTTTACGGTCTGCTTTATACCCTACTTCTTTTTTTTTTGGGTGGGGGGTTTTTGTTAAAAGGGTTAAGATGGCTTATGGAGATATGTATATTAAATATAACTTGAACTTCTTAAATATTTTTTCCAACTTATATTATTTAGTTAATATTCCTCAAAGTAATCATACATTTTCTTATATCCATTTATTATTTTAATAATCATTCTTCCAAAATTTTTAATTCTTAAGAGTATTTATCAATTCGACTCGCTTGGCATATATTTTTTCCCACAGACAGACTTTATATTTAATCGACATCGGCGTCGAGAGGAAGTCATTAAAAGGCGGCTCGACTCGGTGATTCAGGGATTCGGGATATTCCTTGTTGTTGCTCCTTTTTTTTTCACTTCTCACCGAAGAACTAAGGTTCAATTCCGCTTTTTGTCTAGCAGATATATATATACAATATATATATATGTAGAAAATTATTTACCCCTCACACCTCTTTTTCAATTTTCAAATTGCTGCCTGATTGACGAAGGTTAAGGATTTATCCTTATTCTTTCTTTTTTTTTTTGTGTTTTTTGGTGAAGGATTCTCCAATCTGTGGCCTCAAAGATCCTCATCAAACACATTTCATGCCTGCCAGCTGTTTGACTTGTTGCAACAACAACAACAACAAAATAGTGGCAACAATAACAACACTAAATAACAACTTCAGAATTGTCAACAACAAGTTGAACAACTATTTGTAAGAGCTCTCAGGCGGTAAAAGTTGTTCAATAAAGTCCACTACACTGATCTATGAGTTTAAAAGTAATATGCATTTATAGTGGCAGAAAAAATGGCATTTAAATACATATATGGGAAATATTTTAAAAGATTGGAAATAAATTTTTAAAAGAATTTTTAAGAGCTTGTCAATATGTCAATAGATTGTTGTGAAAAATATTCAAAATTCTTAAAATATTTCAAGGGAATAAAGTGAAAAATATTAATGAAAATATAGGAAAGTTAAATAAAATATATAAAAAATAGGAATGAAAATATTTATAAAAAATCAACATTAAAAAATTTGCAAATATGTATCAATATCTCATACCAAACATTGTATAAATATGTCGTATAATTAAACGCCTTAATATATCGAATAATATATGTACATATCTTATGAATATAGCCTTAAAACCTTTATTTAAAATGTGTTTAAAAATTGGAAAAAATGATTTAAAAAATCTCAAAAATAGATTCATATAAAACTTATAAAATATTTATAAAATAGAAGCTAGATTTTTGTCAGGGGCTACGTGGAATATAACTATTTAATTTTGTTATGAATTTTTTAAATTTTTACAAATATAATTTTTCAGATATACTAATTCTAAAGTGAAAAATGGCAAAATAATTGAAAATCCTGTTTTTTTATAATACAAAAATATTTAATTATAATAAAACAAATCCTCATACCAATGTTTGTTTTATTATTTTATATAGTTTTCTATTTTTATCCGTTATGCATTGTCTTTCAAACTTTTTCCCCTAAAAACCTCTCTCATTTCTCCCCGTGTACTTCATCCAATTGCCCAGTAGTCGTGGCCTCGTCGAGAGTTGTCCAAAAAAATTAAGTTAATAGTTTGCTGGCTGCCGCTGCCGCTGCTGCTGCTCGAGTTGAGTCGAAATTGAGTGGAGCGATTACAGAGTTGCCTAGTTTTCGAGCTTTTACCGTTGCCACGGGGTAGGGTGGTGGTCTATGGCGTGGCGTATCGGGTCGTGTGGTCGTGGTGGTCGGAGGAGGTTGGTGCATTTTGGGGGAAAAGTGGATTGTTGGCCAAAAGCCAGCAATCGGGCAAAAAGATCGAGATCAGAGCCACTGCGGAAGCTGCTATTTCAGCGGGTAATTGGCCAAATCAGAGTATTCGTTGGCTTGAATCGGGGAATCCCCCGCTCTTAACCGCCCACCAACAACCGTGCAACACGCCCCCTGACTCCTTCTATCTCTTTCGCTTTGGCCTCCTACTGACTCGATTTCCTTCAGTTATTTCCTTCAGTTTCCTTATTTTTGTAGATCTGTGGCACGTTTATGTCGGTGCCCCTTGCTCATCCAGCAACCCCCACCACCCCCTCTGATCCTCTTGCGCGGGGACAGGTGCTTTGGCAGCCTAATGACATCACCCATTCGAATCGTGAGCCAAAAAACAACACAAATACACTCGAAACTTAATTGGAGCAATTTCAACGTCGTGCAACTGCGCGTATGAGTAATATATGCACTAGTGTGTGTTACTATAGTGTGTGTGTGTGTGTGGCAGGAAAATTATACAAAATGATATCGGGGCAGGCAAGTCAGTCAGTTAGTTCGTCAGTTGGTCAGCTAAGAGCTGAGAGCCTGGTCTCAGAAAAGCAAATTAAAATGCAACTTGATTTGATTAATCGATCGGGGTTTTTTTTTTTGATTGGAAAGAGGGCCAGAATAAAAGTTTCAAGAAAATATGAAGAGAAAAGGTAAAGAAATTGAAGGAAAATTATAGGAAAATAAAAATTAAAAGTGAAGAACCTCTTAAAAGAAAAAATGTCTAAAGAAACACATTAAATAATTGACCTTTGCAACACTGTGAAGTTATACAGGGCTGTTATTTAGGTATTATGGACATTATTTTAGCTCTTATAGTTCCATAATCTATAAGATTTATCAGAAACTTATATAAAAATAAAGAAAAAGGGTTGTTCCTTTAAAAATAACAAAAGGAAAAAGATTTCTAAATAAACCCTTTAAAAAAATACCCCTTTCCAACACTGTTATGAAGATCCTTTGAGCCAATTATTAGTTATTAATCAATTTTAGTTACTAAAGCTCTATAATCTTGCAACTTTATGAAAAATATAGCTCTTAAAAAATAAAAAAAAAATATTTTATAAAATTAATCATATAACCTTTCAAAAATTAACCCCAAAAACCAACTATTTAGTTAAAAAAAACACTTAGAGGTTCGACCCCCACATCGAATCGGATCACAAAAAGTCAACAATTTGTTTGGCACTCACCGCCCCGTAGGGGGCGCCACTGGCGCCAGTCTGATTCTTCGAGCCGAACTTCCTCCCTTTTCTTTTCCCTTTTTTATGGTTTTTTGATCTGGAACCGAAATACCAGCGGCAAATTAGCCACTGCCACGCCTCCCCATACAAACACACAGCCGCCGCCCAGATCACTAGGAGAAGGTGGGGGGTGTATAGGTAACTGATGAATAATGAATTGATCTTTGAATCTCTGAGAGAAGACCGACGACTACTTTTTTTTTTTTTGACCAAAACGAATTTCGATTTTTCACATTTGTATTTTATTGTATTTGTTGTTTGCCGACCGACACTCTCGAGAGAGAGGGGAACAGACAACCTGCGGAGGCGGAAGAAGATGCAACAGACTGCAGTCTATCTCTATCTCACCCGCACAAACACTCTGTGGCTGGCTGTCTTGCTCCCTCTGTCTACCTCATTGTAAATCATTAGTAGCGACACCTGCTGTGAAAATTATGACACCGCCTCCGATTGATGTGGAACACAAAGAGAGTGAGAAGGGGGACAGAAACCGTAAAGTAGGGATGGGGGCGAGAACCAAAAAAAAAATAAAGAACCTTAAAGAGCGGGAGGGAAGAGAGATA